TGTCTATGTATTTTATGATTATAGGCCTATCTTACTTTGTTTGATATACCTCTCTTTAGTATGTTGAATAAATCTAGTAATCTGATTGGTCAAAATTGGAGTCGTGATTTTAGCCATGCCCGCCTATACCGGTCAATAGTTTTTTTTTTAAAGATGCCCGCATGTCCGCCTACCGGTCAATAGTTGTTAAAAAGATGCCCCTGTCCCGGGTAACGGGCCGCATGAATACATTTTGCTAAGATCCCCATTGGTTTACGTGTAACAAGTTTCTTTGTGCGAGCTTTTTGTCTGCGATTCCCGAATGATCGTAACATTTAGGCAACTTTCAAGCGAAGATTTACAGACAGTGTCTCAGATTTTTCTGTGATGTTTTAATCGGCCTTTACTCAAGAAAAGAATAAGATAAGAATTCTTTGTAGATTTGTTTGTGAATTCGGCATATAAGAGATATATCGACTGCTTTAATATTCGAAGCATGGCTGTTCTATATTGGCTCTCGGGCGCCCCGGCGGCGTATGTTTTTTTTCCCACTTGAGCTCGGGACCCCCTGTATGAATTCATTTGCATACAGCCAATCAGAGCTCATCTTGTCCTTAACAAGCTTTACGCGTGCTAAAGATGCGCGGCGAAATTCAAAACTGTGCGAAGCTCTGGGCTTCACATACGCAGTCCTGCACACACGTACACACAGCTCCTGCTCCTTGCCTATATTAGCATGCATGGTGTGCGTACAAAGGCATAGGCTTCCAAATGTTTTATTTCGGCTCTAACATCTCTACCTTTAGCAAATTTATCTACAAATATCAGCTTATCAAACTGCTGTGAAAAACTGTTATTTAGCACTAAGTTACAATTACTCTATCAATCAAGGATAGGCCTTTCTCGTCATCGAAGCCACTGTATACACACAGCGCCTTGCCTATATTAGCATGCATGGTGTGCATGCATAGGCTTGCAAATGTTTCATTTCGGCTCTAACATCTCTACCTTTAGCAAATTTATCTACACATATCAGCTTATCAAATTGCTGTTAAAACTGTTATTTAGCATTAAGTTACAATTACTCTTTCAATCAAGGATAGGCCTTTCTCGTCATCGAAGCCACTATATACACACAGCGCCTTGCCTATATCAGCATGCAGTGGCGTACGCAGGATTTTTTTCAAGGGGTGGGGGGGGGGGGGGGGGGGATTTTAACATTTTGAAATCGAGCCGAAAATTTCGCAACGACTCCGCCAGCCGCTGAATAAGCGGACGGAGGGGGGGGGGGGGGGGGGGTAAGAGGACACTTTTTTGTGTGTTTGTGCGTATGCGTGTGAGTGTGTGTGTTTGTGCGTGTGTGTGTCTGTCTGCCTGTCTTTGTTCAATGCACTGTTTTATTCATCACCCAGTAAGTTGGCGCAAGTGAAATATGGCAGTCTTGTAAAGATTGTCTGATGTTCAGTCATGCGAGAACGGATTCAAATGAAAATGGTACCTAAATGAATTGGGAGGATAACTCTATCAAGACATATCATTAAATCCCTAATTTAATATTCATACTTCAAACAATACAACTTTTAAAAAGTGGGACATTCTTTCTGACTCACCCTGTATATTATAAGGACTCCTTTCTAAAGATTTTACGGTTGGGAATTTATCATCGATCTTTATACCTCTAAAAGGCTCTATAATCAGCTTATGAAATTGCCGTGTAAAGTTATTACTTAGCGCTTGATCTAAATTTAAATTACTCTAGCAATCAAGGATATGTCTTTCTCGTCATTGAAGCCACTATAATTATAGGGACTCATTTCTAAAAAATTATACGGTTGAGAGTTTACGAGTTTACAGATCTAGACTTAAACACCTCTAAAAGGCTCTAATAATATCAGCTTTATTTTGTTACTTCTTTTATTGCAGGAATTCTTACCTGAGAACATCACAGCAATTTCTTAAGCTGATATTATTAGAGTCTTTTAGAGGTGTAGATCCATAATAAATGTTTCAACAATAAAATCTTTAGAAATGAGTCCCTATATATAGTGGCTTCGATGACCGTGACGATAAGGCCTATCCTTGATTGATAGAGTAATTGCAACTAAGTGTTAAATAACAGTTTTTCACAGCAATTTGATAAGCTGATATATCTGTAATAAATTTGCTAAAGGTAGATGTTAGAACTGAAATGAAACATTTCAACGCACACCATGCACGCTGGTATAGACAAAGCACTGTGTGTACGTGTGTGAAGCCCAGAGCTTCGCACAGTTTTGAATTTCGCCGCGCATCTTTAGCACGCGTAAAGCTTGTTATTGACAAGATGAGCTCTGATTGGCTGTATGCGAATGAGTTCATACTGGGGATCCCGAGCTCAAGTGGGAACAAAAATTACGTGCCCCGGCGCGCCTATTGGTCACATCAGGATGTAACGTCCCCTTGAGCCTATAGAAACAGCGATGGCTCTCATAGCAGTAAATATATCTATATTATATATCTTTCTGTATTGTTTTGTAAATACGTTGTGCTCTCATACCCTTGAAGGGGGTCGATAGAGTCAAATAAAATCTAACACAAATCATACTAATGTCATTTCACCGACTAGAACCATGGAGTTACTAAAGCCTCCCTTGACACGTGTAAAGCTGAAAGTTATGACATCTTGAAGAAGCCCTATTGGAAAAATATCTTTTCACCTTTACACGACCGTGTCGACAGACTCTTTCATTCCAGTGTTTTACATGTTTTAAATATAATTATATATTCATAATCAATATTTTGAATTCACACGAAGGTAGGTCAGTTCATAGCCCTCCAGACGTCCATGACATCGACCTTGAAAATGACAGAACATCCGTCGATAATGTTTATTCAAATCATTATCAAAATCACTAGCATAAAAATTAATTGTTGAAATTTGATAGAGTCGGGGAAACCATGCAATCATGCATTTCATGACCATGAACATGAAGCAATGACTGGGAATTTTTCTTTGTGCCTCATTTTATTTGTTTGTTTTTTTCGTTGACGTAACTACAGAATCAATGACTATCTCTCTCTGTAAGTGCCATATCGTTTGACTTTGGCGATCATGCTGTTCCACAACCCTCGGCTCCTAGCCTTCTGTATTAGTACCACTCCCAGTTCTTTCACTCCTCTCTCTTCCAACAATTTCTGCAGACTGTCCATCCAAAGTATCCCCCTTCCCCTACTCCTTCTTCCCACAATTTTCCCTGTCAAAGCAAGATCCTCTCGGCCTTCTTTACAGGTAATGTGACCCATGAACTTCAACTGCCTAATCAACATCTCACGTATCATTTTCCTTTGCACTCCAGCTCGTGTAAGAACTTCCTCATTACTAACTGTGTCAGTCCAGTGGATTTTCATCATTCTTCTGAGAAACCACATTTCGCAACTTTCCAAACGCCTTTTAGTATCAGAGGCTAAAGTCCATGTTTCACTACCAAACATAAGTACTGGGTAGATGTAACAATTCAATACCCTTATTCTGGTCCTCATACACATTGTTCGATTTGTCAGAATTTTGCCTTATCAATGACGTCGTCCTTGAATGTTCGAGACAGTCATCAAATATAATAGTTTTTTGTTTTCGTCTGGTACACATGACCCCGAAATATCAACCCATATTGTGCATTTTTGAAAAATCACTCCCGAAAAAATGGAGGTACTTTTTGTGTACATTTTAGTTTCCCCTTGTCATGTGATGCGCCGTTGATGGATAAATGGATAATGAAAACATGAATTTCACTAGAACATAACGTTCATGAAAACATGAATATTCGTCTCAACAAATTATACAATTTGGTACAAATGATTTTGATCTGCTCATGCGCAGATGTCCATCCAAGAAGTGGCTTGTTGTGGTGTCAATTTTCATTCGTGAGGTTGAGGGTTCGATCCTCTGCCATATGTCCGTAGACAAGGCATTTTCATAGTATTTATTTCTCTTGCAACCCAGGCGTTGATTTAGTGTCTGGAATTAAGGATCTTATCCCTAAATGCACTGTTCGTCAATGAAGGCTTCTGCGTGTGGCTTATGTCAGTGTAATAAAATTGAAAGCATTTTGAAAGCACACAAAGTTTCAAGTTCCAAGTTTATTTATTTCCACTTTATTGAAGATAACATAATTGAACATAATGATCATGGTCATAATCATAACTAAACATACAATATAGAAACTCAATATACATGGTAATAGTTATAACAAAAGATACAATCATACGTATGATGAATACATTGAAAAAGTTAAATAAAGAGGGGGGATTTACTAAAAAGCAAAGTTTGTATTATGTAGATCCCAGTATATTCGGAAAATCAAGCATGAAAGGTGGTAGAGGGGGAAAGAAAAGAGAGGGGAAGGATAGATAGAAGGGAGAAACAAAGAGAGGGGGACGGGAGAAAGAGAGAGAGAGAGAGAGAGAGAGACGAATAGAGAGGGAAAGGCAGAGAGTGGGACGTGGGAGAGAGAGAGAGAGAGGCATGGGAGTTGTATTTAAAAATAAGAAAGATTGAATTGATGGTTAAAATGAAAATAGGCCTTGTATTTAAATCATTATTCCAATTTGTTTACACGATAGTCGTATAAAGAAAACTTAAACATTTAGAGAACTTTAAGGCATCCTTTAAAGATACTACACATAACCTTTTTCACAACTTTCATTTTTTGACATTTGTTTTAGAAGAAATAATGAGCGCATACATAGACTTCAAACACAAACGAAAAAATTGGAAGGTTCTGAAATGATAGACTACGTTATTCTGGGATAATTGCCCCCCCCCCCCCCCCCCCCCCCCCCCCTCCCTTGTTATTCCAGGACAACGACCTCAATCTGAAAGACCTTCGGATCCCGGGGTTCCGGCGACTACCCCCCGGACGACTGGCCCCTGGATAATTACCCCCCATTCAAATTACCACCCGCGCACAATCACCCCCCGGGCAACAGAGCTCGCCGCACAATCACCACACGGGGAGCATTATATATTCTGGACTTTTTTCTTTTGAAATGCCATTTGTCTGATACATGTACACATGTATTTACGGTGGTGTAAACCCTCATGCTTGCACTCGCTAGTCGCAGAGGTAGATCAGTAGAACACTACAGTCACGCGCGTTGATACCATTGAAAGAAGACTTGCCTACATGACCTGTGATCTCTATGTTCTCCAGTAATACACGTAGCTGCCTGTTATGTACATGTAGCAGCTTTTCCACTAGAGTCACAGCGCTTGGACTGGATGCCATCACTTGTTCAGCGTTCGGGTTTAAATATATACATGCTTCCAGACGGTGACAGTGTGAGTTAAGTGACTTAATGCATATGGTTTCAGAGTAGACATGTCTTATCTTTAAATCGGTCTACTGTTGGTGCTTACTTCAGATGAGGAAGGATCTAGCGAAGAATTTGTGAGTAGTTGAGGAGACAACTGACAACAGTACTACTGCATTGCCGTCTAGTTTGTTGTTGATATGAGTGGTCGTATACAGTACTGATACGGACAACGCTAGACACGTGCGCTGTGTAGTAGAGCGTCCCACTATCTAAGATACTCCTCATTGTACATACTTCGTAGTAGGTTCATGCTTATGTGGTCGGCTGTTGTTGTTTCTTGTTGACATCTTTGAGGTACGATGGAGTGGATAGATACTGAGAGGGGAGGACTGAAGCTATTGCTTGATGGGTTCATTTACGTGAGGAAGAAGGACCTGGCTAATGGATGGGAGAGCTTCGAGTGTGAATTAAGAAGAAATCGTAACGAGTGCAAGGCCAGGGTCAAGGTAATTCCGACTAGTGTTTGTACTTTGAAATTGAATCATCGATTATTATTTGTTTTATGTACGTAATATCTTTCTCTCTCTATCCTTGCGGATAGCAGTATTTATATCAGAGTATTGCTCAACGTGGTTAGAAGTACTCTATCCAAGCCAAAATATATTATAAAATAGTTATATAGTAGTTCTGCTGTTTTCACACTGTATCCTTAACTTGATCACTTGCATAATCACAGTGTGAGCACATAATGGAGTTGATTTCGAACACTTTCAAAGCGTTGACTGTGTGAAAGCGGTGTGTCCACACTGTCCTCACACTCTGACCATCTACACAATCACACAGTCTACATACAGGTGGAGCTATTCCGTATATACTTTTTTGTGTGGATATGAACACTTTTATAATGTATACAATATGAGAATACTGTTTTCACACTCAGTTGCCTCTGATTACTTTGGGACAGCGTGTACTTACCACAGTTTGACCACAGAGAATATTTATAACACCTTCATAGGTGTTTTTTTTACGGGGGAGGTGAAAATGGTGTGTTCACATTGTCCCCTCACTGTGATCATTTACATATTCACACAGTGTACGCATCACAGTGGAACTTTAGGCATTAGTGGATAAGAACACTTCCTTAGTGTTGACAGTGCTAATATATTTCCTCACTCCTATCGCCTACATAATTACACCTAAATATAAATGTGTGAATACCACAAGGGCCATACTTTATCCTCTTATTTCGTTATCACAGCGTGTACGTTCCACATTATGACAATAATGAGTAGATTTTTAACACTCTCACTGTGTTAAGTGTTTACTAATCAATGTTCACACTGTACGGCACATTATATGACACATTGTGGTCACATAGGATTGTTCTCCCGATGGTCATATAGTCCATGGTCCTATTGAGGTCATCCAGGTGGTGGCAGTTTATTGGGTAGAATGAAATCCTGCTCATAGTTTTCCAAGCACGGTAGTCCTGGTTGTAGTTATCGAAAGAAAGTCCTGGAAACCACATTCTTTGGTGCTCAAGACACCCTATCATATTGTATTTTGTTTCATACAAACAGGTGTTAGGTGCCGACGAATTCCGAGACAAGACAGAACACAACCATCCTCCCGACCATGGTAAAGCCGACGCTTACAAACTAAAGGCTGCGATGAAGAGAAGGGCAGTCTCAACAGACGAAAGTCCCCAGCAGATCCTGATGGCCACCCTGCCCCAGGCTACAGATGAAGGTGTTATGGCTCTCCCAGGACCCACCAACATGCGGAGGATCATCAGGAGGCAACGCCAAGACCATCGGCATTCCTTGGCGATGAGGAATTCAATGATCCCTGAAATTATTGGAGATCAGAGACCACCTTTGGAAACAAGAGAAAGTCTGCTGGTACTTCCGGGAATTGACAGCGTGTGCCAAGATGATCAGGAACCCTTGGCGATTAGGAATGCAGAGGCCCTTGCAGTTCCCCTTGAAGATCAGCGATCATCTCTGGCTACAGAAGAAGGTCCAATGGCACCTCTAGGTGTGGTGTGCCAAGACGTTGCGGAAGATTTATTGATTGGGAACTCAGAGGACCTAGGAAATCCCGGAGACCACAGATCACCTTTCGATTTAGACAAGGGTCTGGAGGCACGGCCAGGACTCGACAATGTCCAGCAGGACGAACAGGAAATAATGATGATTAGGAATTCAGAAAACTCAAATGTGTCTGAAG